ACACACACACACACACACACACACACACACACACACACACACACACAACTTCTAGTTCATGTCCTCCCTGAGCTTTTTCTGAGGTATTTATTTGGCTCCCCCATCTTTGCAGCCAAATATGAGAAAGCTAAAAGTGAGCTTTAAAGATTTATGTTATGTCTTAGTGTTTAGCCTTCATGTATAAATGCACACCCTGTGTGGGCCTACTGCCCAAGGAAATCAAAAGAGTTGCAATCGATCCCTTGGAAAGGGAGTTTCACATAGCTGTGAGCCACCATGTTGGTGGTGGGAACAGAATCAAGCTCCTTGCAAGAGCAACAAATGTTCTTAACCCCTGAACCATTTCTCTTGCATTCTAAAAGTGATTTTTCTAATGACCATTTCCCAGGGCAGTAAAAACCTCCAAAAAAAAGTAATTTTTCACTGGGAAGTCAACATCCTTTCAAATTTTTCATAGTAATTTGCACAGGTCTAAGCCACAGTATTAGGTACTTAACATAGGGCCCAAGGCAATTGCCAGATAAGAGTGATTTTTTATTTGTTTGTTTGTTTTCTTTATTTCTTTGCTGCTGACCCCACACTTTGGGGTAACTACAGGTTTTGTTTCCTATTTGTACTCCTTTTCTCAGGTTACAATCTTGCTTTCTTCTGGCTCTTGACTGTCAGGCACGGAACTCTTACTTCTCTGTGTAGACCACCATGTTTCCTTCAGCTGGTTATCAGAAAGCTCTGATTTCTGAGCACTGAGGCAGGGGACTGCAACGAGGAAGTACTAAGTTTCAACAAGGTGTATTCCTAGATGTAATGGTCTCTCAGAAGTCCTCTCTTCTTGAACATTCTCATGGCAGTTAGTGAATTTAATGAGCATTGTGAAGTAGTAAGGTGAAGCCTTATATCGTGGAGAAGTAGGGATTCATGGCACCAAGAAAGAGATGACTGTTGACACAGGTTCTAAGATCAAAAATCAATAAAAGGGACCTCATGAAACTGAAAACCATTTGTAAAGCAAAGGACACTGTTATCAGAACAAAATGACAGAAAACAGACTGGGAAAGGATCTTCACCAACCATATATCTGACAGAGGGCTAATATCCAGAATATATAAAGAACTCAAGAAGTTAAACAGCAAAAAAAAAAAAAAAAAAAAAAAAAAAAAAAAAAAAAAAAAAAAAAAACAAAAAAAAAAAAAAAAAAAAAAAAAAAAAAAAAAAAAAAAAAAAAAAACAAATCAAGTAACCCAATTAAAATTTGGGTACAAAGCTAAACAGAGAATTCTCAACAGAAAAATACAGAATGGCAGAGAAACTCTTAAAGAGATGCTCAATGTCCTTAGTCATCAGGAAAATGCAAATCAGAATGACCCTGAGATTTCACCTTACACCCATCAGAATGGTTCAGATCAAAAACTCAAGTGACAATACATGCTGGAAAGGTTGTGGAGAAAGGGGAATCTTCCTCCATTGCCGGTGGGAATGTAAACTGGTACAACCACTTTGGAAATCAATCAGGCATTTTCTCAGACAATTAGGAATAGTTCTTCCTCAAGATCTAGCTATACCACTCCTAGGCATATATCCAAAATATACTCAAGTATACAACAAGGACATTTGCTCACCCAAGTTCATAGCAGCTTTATTTGTAATAGCCAGAAGCTGGAAACAACCCAGGTGCCCCTCAGTTGAGGAAAGGATACAGAAATTGTGGTATATTTACACACTGGAATATTACTCAACAATTAAAAACATGGAAATCATGAAATTTGCAAACAAATGGTGGGAACTGGAAAAGATCATCCTGAGTGAGCTATCCCAGAAGCAGAAAGACACACATGGTATATACTCACTTATAAGTGGATATTAGAAATATAATATAGGATAAACATACTAAAATCTGTACAACTAAAGAAGCTAATCAAGAAGGAGGACCCTGCTTAAGATGATCAATCCTCACTCAGAAAGGCAAATGGGACAGATATCAGAAGAGGGAGAAAACAGAGAACAAGACAGAAAATTACCACAGAGGGCCTCTGAAAGACTCTCCCCAGCAAGGTAGTAAATCAGATGCTGAGGCTCATTACCAAACACTGGGCAGAGTGCAGGGAATCTTATGAAAGAAGGGGGAAATAGAAAGACCTGCAGGGCCCAGGATCTCTACAAGGAGAAAAACAGAACCAAAATAGCTGTGCACAGGGTTCTTTAATAAGACTGATACTCCAACCAAAGACCATGCATGGATATAACCTATAACCTCTGCTCAGATGTAGTCCATGGCAGCTCAGTGTCCAAGTGGGTTTCCTAGTAAGGGGAACAGGGACTGTCTCTGTCTCTGGCTCTGGCTCTTTGATTACCTCTTCCTGAGGGGGGAAACAGCCTGACTAGGCCACAGAGGAAGACAATGCAACCAGTCCTGATGAGACCTGATAAACTAAGGTCAGATGGAAGGAGAGGAGGACCTCCCCTATCAGTTGACTTGGGGAGGGGCATGGGAGAAGATGAGGGATGGAAGGTGGTACTGGGAAGGGATAAGGGAGGGTGCTAAAGCTGAAATACAAAGTAAATAAATTGTAATCAATAAAAATGAATTATTAAAAAAAGAGATGACTGTTGAAAAGAGAACTGGCACATGCAAGACTAGGGCTAGGAAGCCAAATGTCAAAGAATTAGGAAAATGTTATGGGTTATATGACCCAGAGTACAGGAAAAGGAGGCAGGTAGAATATAGAAACATTCCCAAGTTTTCAGGAAAATCTAGGCATACAACCAACAGCAAAGCATGTAGAATTTTAGTCAGGAAGAGAAATGAAGAGATGGCTTTGAATGAGACATAATCAATATACTGGTGAGCAAAAGATGTTCCTGTGGATGATGTTTCTCATTCTCAAAAATACATCTTCTTAGAATCTGCTCTAGCCCACAGGTCACCCAAAGTTATCCCATAAGTCATCCTAAACCCACTGTCTTCTTAAAATCCACAGGCCAAAAAAAAACTTGGCCCTGGTGGCCTGCAGAGACTGATACCCCAACAAACAGCCATGCATGGAGAGGAACTAAAATCCCTGCTCATGGGAACTAAAATCCCAGACTCAGTCTCCAAGTAGGTTTTCTAGTAAGGGGAGCAGGGGCTGTCTCTGGCATGAACTCAGTGGCTGGCTCTTTAATCACCTCTCCCTGGAGGGTACAACCTTGCCAGGGCACAAAGGAAGAGGATGCAGACAGTCCTGATGTGATCTGATAGGCTAGAGTCAGATACATAGAAGGAGAGGTGGTCTTCCCCTATCAGTGGACTAGGGAAGAGGCACAGAGGGTGAAGAGCGAGGAAGGTGGGACTGGAAGGAGATATGGGAGGGGACTACAGGAGAGATACAAAGTAGATAAACTGTAATAAATAATAAATATATTTTTAAAAAGGAAAGAAAGAAAGAAAGAAAGAAAGAAAGAAAGAAAGAAAGAAAGAAAGAAAGAAAGAAAGAAAGAAATCAATGCTTTGTGGTCTTTCTTGAGTGTGTGTGTGTGTGTGTGTGTGTGTGTGTGTGTGTGTGTGTGTATGGATGGATGGATAGGTATGTATGTACCTGCAAGTAGATAAAATTCTGGAGATACATACTCTGAAAAAATACATATGAATGAAGTGCTAGTGACATATACCTCTGTGGAAAGAAATTAAAAAATAATTTCCTGTGTGGAAGTTTCATAAGGCAAGAGTGACTCTGTGTCCTTGGTTCCAAAAAAGGTGACCAAGTGTGACTGTCCAAATTTGTGAGGAAGAAATATCTCAGTCTGTAAAATGTAGCCAAAGTCAGAGAATTCTATGTCACACAACAAAGGCACCTGAAATAATGTGTCTGTCACTCAGGATTTGTTTGAGATCTATGGGATTGCTGTCAACACACAGTATCACAGATGGGGCAGCATATACATGGAATAGGAACACCTACATGCAGGTGCCTGCCTAACAAGGAGACAAGCCTGTGGAAAGGACTATCACCCACCTGTCCTCAAGCAAGCTCACAGCTCCACTCATTACAGCCAGCTATTGTATTGATCCAGCCCAGCTGCCAGAAAAGAGGCCCAGGCAGTGGCCCCACAGGTTTTGGGTTGAGTCTCAATCACTGTGTTATGTTTTTGGCAGTGGAACCAAGCTCACTGTCCTAGGTAAGTGGCTTTAATGCTCTTTCCCATTCAGCCCAGCCCTTGTTGTCTTGCAAAGATTTGTTTTTTTCTTTCTGGGAACTTTTTTTTTTCATCTGTCTTCCTCAAACTTAAAGACTGAATTCTTAGGCTTCTCCATGGTAGTTAAGGGAGATGGACCATTTTGGAATAAGCTGGTCTTCCTTTTGGAAGGACCAAAAATCTTTAAGCATCTGGCCTTAGATTGCAATAGATATGCTGAGATCTCTGAGGCATTAGTTAGGGTCTGAACAGACACAGGGCTCCAGTTCTTGTTCTCAGGAAGATTAAACATTGGAGACCATGGAGCAGGTCAAAGTAGGGGCACCAAGACTTTCACAGAGACCACAATATCTTTAAAGGGTATCAGTTAGGTTACTACCTTTCGAGAATCATGAGGGATTGCAGACATCACAGCTGCAACTGGAGAATAGCGTGCATGTAGGGTTTTTGCATGAGTGCAAATCATAGGGTTGTATGTATGGCAACGAAACCAGAGTGACTGTCCTAGGTGAGTGACTTCTTCCTTCTCCATTGCTGTTCTCTCCACGGTTAGAGATGATTACTGTTGGATTATTTCTCAGCCTGTATTTTGCTTCATTCCTAAACTCCACTCTAGGTAAATAATCGTTTGCTTCTCTACATTCTGTCTCATTTTAGATGGTTTCCTGTACGGTTTTTTTTGTTTTGTTTTTTTGTGGTTTTTTGTTTGTTTGTTTGTTTTTGTTTTTTTTTTTCTAATCTCAGACAGGGTCCTGAGACAGATAAACTATCAATGTCTGTCTGTACTTTAAAGCGCTCTGATAAGTACCCCCATGTGTCCTCCCATTTGAATGTCTATTTTTCTGGTGAACTTTGTGAAGGGCAAAGTGAACTGTCATCTCATGGAGATGAGGCATAGAGGGAGAGAGAGCTGTTGAATTTGGAAAATGTAGAAAACTTAGCACTGAGGATGAGGAATAACAAGTCAGGGGCCAGGTATTTAGACAAAGGAACTCAGGATCCAAATCCTAGGACAGTCAGAAGATAGAATGGATCCCCAAGCCTCCATGGAAAGCCATGAACAGAGCAGAAACCAACCTAGAACACGGGAATATTTACTAAGTAGAAGATTTAGTAAGTAGAAGAAAGGGGGAAAAGCTCTGGACACAGAAAGTCAAGACAAGAAAAACTAAAGATGTATTTGGGAAGGTGGGCTTCTGGGTCTCTACAAAGCCTACAAGATGGATCAACTGAGTTCACCTAGATCTACTCCTGATGCATGAAAATTATACAACTTAGCCAGAGAGGGGAATCTGACCTAATTCTGAAGAATGAGAAAAAGTTCAAGCGGGTAGATGCTATGCTTAGACCCTGGAGAGGCAAATTTGAGTCAAAACAAATGCCTAGGTTTAAAGTTTAGGCTCAGAGCAGAGGTTTACATCAGAACTGTCTGTCTTCCGAGTGGGACAGACAGACTACAGATAGACATAAAAAGCAGAGAGAAGAACATAGAGCAAGAAATAAAAAGATCAGGTGTCTGTGATGGAGGTCAAGTTGTAGGAAATTGTCAGGTAAAGTGTATAAATATGTGGGTGCATAATTTTTAGCACATAGGGAGCACATGAAAGAAATGCATACCCCATCTTCTGCACTATGTTCAAACACATTCACTAACTTCAAGGACAATTTATATACTTCCTCCAGGATTCCTATTGGGAGAACAATATTCTGACCCTCTTTCTTCATCCTGCAGGTCAGCTCAAGGCTACACCCAGAGTCACCATACTCCCACCTACCCCTGAAGAGCTCAGGACCAACAAAGTCACAGTGGTGTGTCTCGTAGAAGGCTTCTTCCCGGAAAATTTGTCAGTGTCCTGGAAGACAGATGACACTCCTATCACCGCAGGTGTGGAGACTAGCCAGCCATCCCTACAGAGCAACAACAAGTACATGGCTACCAGCCTCCTGTCCTTGGCAAAAGAAATGTGGGAAACTAAAAGCACTATCAGCTGCCTCGTCGTTCATGAAGGGGAGATTGTGGAGAAGTTTCTGATCCCTGCTGCGTATTCCTAGGTCTTCTGACCTTCATGTTACCCACCGAGCATGAGATCAGAATCATGCCCAAGAATACCCTTACTGCTATTGCCTATCACAGCCGTTTTCCCTGCTCTCAAAATGCACAATAAAATATCTATTATCAGCCTGTAATTCTGCTTTGCCTTATTTGTTCTAATGCATATTTCACTGGGATTCAGAGTAGAGTGAGGAATAACCTGGAACCATGTAGTTTACAAGCAGGGTCATGGCCTGCATTGTCACCCCAGGAAGTGCCACCTTCACACGGACACAATTGTTCAAGCCCTTTCTTGGACTTCCAATTACACAATGCAATTGTGCAGTATGAATGTCATAGACTTCTCTAACTTCACTTCTAACTTTAATAGACCTAATCATGTGTCAAGTGCATTTCTAACAATCTACTGGTGCCTAGTTATCTTATCTCAGAATTGAGTATTAAAAACACTGACAATTCTATATGAGATCCCTGTTTCTACCATTCAAGTAAAAATAAAGAGTAGCAGGAAAATAAAAGTGTATCGTGATCAATCCAGATAAGCAAAACCAAGCTAAGGTAAGAGTGTATGTGAGGTTCACGAAGACTGTAGAATGCTTCTGATCAACATTGATGGGAATAGAACTTTGTTGAACTAAGGCAAATAAGAAACCATCCGCAAGAACCTCTGCTCAGATGTAGCCTGTGGTAGCTCAGTAACCAATTGGTTTCCCATAGTGAGGGGAACAAGGACTATTTCTAACAGGAACTCAATGACTGGCTCCTTGGCCTCCCCACCCCCCGAGGGAGGAGCAGTCCTGTTAGGCCACAGAGGAGAGCTTTGCAGCCAGTCCTGAAGATACCTGATAAAACAGGATCAGATGAATGGGGAGGAGGTCCCCCCTATCAGTGGACTTGGCAAGGGGCACAGTGGAGATGAGGGAGGGGGGGAGGGACTGGGAGGGAATGAGGGAGCGGGACACGGCTGGGATGGCTGGGATACAGAGTTAATAAAATGTAACTGATAAGAAAAAATAAAATTCAAAAAAAAAAAGAAAGAAAGAAACCATCCGCAAAGGGAACAAAGGCATTCAGTGCTAAATGTGAGAGATTGGACGAGTTTCTACTTCAGAGCTAGATTCTGGGATTTACCATATAACATCATGGCTGTAGGTTCCAAGAATGGCTAAATGTCTGGGTACCCTACAGAGAACAAGACTGTCCCTAGAATCCCCATCCTAGCATATTTCGTTTCTTCCCTGGCTCAAGCATAATAGTTCAGGGTGCCCCTACAAGTGGACTGGATCAACTCCCTAGCAGTGCAGACGTTGTTCAACACCTCTGTTCCATGATTCTCAGAACCTGGACAATGACAAGTGTCCCCACCAAGATTCTGGTTGAGGAATGAGCCCAGGGATAGAGGCTGGCGGATCAAGAAGTTTTCAAAACGGTAGTGTGAGCAGGAGTAGAGCAACAGTATGGAATCTCGGCCACACCTATTCAAATATTAGCCTCTGCATTAGAGGGACGTTCAGGAGATGATATTGTACAGCAACTGACTTTAGTTCATGAAACTGAAATCTGTGACTCAAAGATGAAGTCACAGAATTGACTTCTGTTGATCTTCTCTTCTTCATTGGCCAGTTCCACCCCCTCTCCAGCTGCTGTGCAGAGGAACATTTCTATCATTTTTTTTGCAACATTGTTTCTGCTGATGGTGTTATTATTGTTGTTATTGTTGTTGTTTTGGTTATTTGAGACAAGATCTCTTTCCCAGGCCTCAGACCCAGAGAATTCTGCCTGACTGCCTCCAAAGTTCTGGGATCACAGGTGCATCACCGTGTTCTGCTTGTTGTCATGTTTAATTCCCGAGAACACTGAGCTAAAATTCAAGAACAAAGACATAGAAAAGTAAAGTGCTGTTCCCACCAACTAGCGATTACATAATTTTTGCAGTGTTGGTTATTGAATCCAGATTCATTCTAGGCAAATATTCTACTGCTGTCCTATGTCCTCAAACCTTAATTTTTTTGATGGTTAGTTACTTTTTAATTTTTACTGGTGCATATTCATTGTACATAGTGATGGGTTCACAAAAATGTTTTCATTATAGCACACCATTTACTTTGATCCTACACACCACCCTACACTTTGTCCTTTCTCAGATTGCTAAATGCAACATAATTTTGCTCTTCTCTGTGACTGGATAACTCTCCTTCTTGTATACAAAAAAAGTACATGTCCTTTATCTGCTCATCTGTGCCTAGGCTGATCCTAAGTCCGGCCATTGTGATTAGCCTTGCCTGACCAAGGATGTGCAGCATCTCAGTATTCCTCTGTCTGTACACATAACAGCTAAAGACTCCACAAGAAAACCAGTGGAACTGTGAACACTTTCAGCCATATACCAGGAAACAAATTCATCCTAAAGAACTACAAGCTATCCTATTCAACATAGTGCACATACTGAGCAAGGAATCAGGAAAATAATTCTATTTACAATAGAATAGTAAACACAGTTTCTAGAAGTAAACCTAAATGAGTAAGTGCAACAATGAAAAGTTTAAAACACAGAGAAAAGAAACTCTTGCTTCTTTTTAAAATAAATGTTTACTTTGTAACCTACACAGGCCTTGAACTCCATCACTCAACCTCCGTGGTGCAAGGACTAGAACCCATACTACCATATTTCTTACTATTCTCTAACGAAATTATCACAGAATTACTCCTTGCTTACATGGTGTTTAGTTTTAATTTATTTAAAATTGACAACATAAATACTTGTATGCATTGTGATTATACTAATTTCCTCTGTCTGAGCTTTCTGACCTGCTCCAAATGACCTCCTCATTCTTGCCAACAGATTTCATTCCTGACAACATATCTGTCCTTTCTCTGTATATGTATGTATGTTATATGATTGTATGTATGTATGTACTTATCTATGTATGTTTTCGAGCTGCGATTCCAGCTGCCATGTTTTCATGATTGCAATGTCCATGTGATATTCATAAAACCACCACATCCTCCCTATCCTTCAACTTTCACAGTTCTTCTACCTCTAGTCCCATGGTGTTTCCTGAACTTCTGGGGTGGGGGATGCACTGTTTGGGTGCCAAGCAGTCACCAGTCAATTATTCACAACACTTTGAAGAGTTGAGCCCTGGCATTGACCCTCACCCACAGGGGGAAAAAGCTGTTCTGACCAAGGCTGAGAGTGGTACTGGTCTATAATGAAATAGTAAATGTTTAGAAGACAGATTAACTACATATCCTCTTGGCAAACATCTAGTTTGCCAACATAGAACGTAGGAGATGGGGGATGGGAGGACATGGTGTGGAGATGTAGGCTTCTGAGTCTCTGGTATTCTCTAACAACAGGACGAGACTCTCATTCTAGAGACAGACAGAGTCTAATGTTCTTAATGCTCCTCCTTTCTATGGTAAGCCACTTCATTTCACCATTTTTTTTCAATTTTCTGTCTTTCTTCCTTTCATTCCTTTTCATTGAACAGAATCTCTCTATCCAGCCAAAGCTTAACAATGGACTCAATTGAGTAATTGGAGGGGCCAAGATGGAGGCACCGGGAGAACACAGTCTGAGAAGCAGGACAACACACTCCTTGCAGCGACCAGGAGACTGAACTCTGGGCCCTAAAACAACAGCGATCGATCCTGTTTCCCAGGTGAGGGGAGGCTCCCACAGCATGGGAATCGGTCGGGTCCACTCTTGGCTGCCCAGCCAGAACCCGGAAGAGAACCCGGCTAAGGCAGGCTTTGGGTCTCCGGGCTGGTGCCTCAAGCCTGCGTGTCCTGATCATTTTCCCAGGCTGATCGGTGGGCACAAGGGTGCCTGAGACTGTAAGTCACAGCCGCAAAAAAAAGCTCCACGGGGAAGGAAAGTTGCCAGACTGCTCACGGGTCACCCAGTCTTTCCCTGGAAGGTCTCTCCGACCATGGGTAACCGCCGCCATCACAACTGAGCTCCCACTGCGCACGGATAGAAACTGCGCGCCCAGCTCAAAATCCCAACTCCCTCTTGGGAGTAGGCAAAAGGCGGCCAGCAGAATCTGCCACAGACCACATTGTCTGTACCCCAACCCGAGATCGGGGCTGAGAAAACCCAATCCTTTCGGGCACTCCCCCAAACGCAGCCATAACCCTGCCGCGGCAGAGCAGAAGGATAAAAAGGCGCACAGCGGCTTCACAGTGCAGGAACTCCAGTGCTGTCAGCCGCTCCTAGCAAACAAACTACAGCTCGGGATCTGGGACTGTGGTCATTCTACACGTCCTGAGATTCTCCTGGGTTCAGTGCAATAAGGTCTAGCAGCAAGTTCTATCACCTCCCCCGACCCCTGGCAGAGAAACGCAGGCTCAGAATCCAACTGAAAAGCCCCAACCCCTGCTGGCACTCCCCTGAGAGCACCTCCATAAGCTTGCCCTAGCAGAGGGGAAGGTCAGAGGGGAAGGACAGAAAGGCAGTCTGCCAAGGACACAGCACCCTCTCTCCAGCTCACCCAGTGGCCCCTAGCAGAGAAACCCAAGCTCTGAATCTGAGGACACTCAACCCTACCTGGTACTCTCTCTGGATCAGCAAACATAGGTTCTACCGCCAGGCTGCTTCTGGCAGAGAGATCTGGGCCCAGAATCTGGGATTGAGAACACTCAACGTAACTCTTTCCCGCGCTACCCCGGGACCAGTCAACATAACTCCTCCTGGCAGAGGGAAAAGACAGAGGTAGCACACAGGAAAGGTGGACACCGAGTCCTGCAGCCACAGAGTCACAGATCTGACTGTTAGCCTACCAGTGCACTTCCGCAGCAGGACCAAATCAGAGAGTAGTGAGCAAGGGGAACCCCTGTGCATTCCAACTGGTCCTGCAAGAGAGTGAGTGAGCCTTCTAGGGAGAGTTTGCCCCAGACCCAGGGCCTCTCCACAGAAGCAACCAGACGAGATCCCTGCCATCCACACCCCTAGTGTGGGCATCATAGGGATTCTTGGGATAGCGACCCCAACATTGAAGCTTCTGCCTTGCGGGTCCATCAGTGTAATCCAGGCAAACAATCCCTGGATCTCAGTCAGAACTGCGTAATAGTGGCTTGCAGGCCACTGCAATAGTCAGAGAATCCGCGCATGCACACTGCGCCCACTAAA